GAAGCGCGCCGAGGCCGACTCCGAGGGTGCTCTTGGCGGGTACAAGATCTTCAGCAGCTATGAGGAAGAGAAATAGAAGCCCTCCGAGGCCGACGCCGAGCCCTAGATGGTCACAAGATCTTCAGCGACTACAATGATGAGAAGGCGACCTTATCTGGGTGTGTAAGGTACCTTGTGTGACCATGATACCGAAAATGAATGTTCTGCGTATTTTTAGCATCCTAGAGAAGCATGAAATTGGAGCTTTCACTCTTCGTCCGAGTTTGCGCTTAATATCTTAAAACATTTATCGGTATTCATCGTATAAGGCGGAGGCCTTTCACCTAAGTACGCTATTTTTGTGATCCAGAAACATTTAATTCTAGTATTGTCAAGAGAGGGAAATAATCTGAACAGACGTCCAAAATATACCATAGTTCCCCAACATCAAGATATAGGACCCACTGGAGGGTATATTGACCAACCACGGCTTGAATAAGGAGAATGATAGATTAAGTACAAAGGTCAGAAGGCTATATGGGACAGAGTAGTAATAATAGACATTCGCCCTGGTTTTCAGTTTTCAGTTTCGCCATCCATACTTCTTTCTAATCTAAGGGCTGATATTTGAATTTGGTGCTGAGGATCTTTGTAGGTTCGTCAAGTTGGCATTAATTCATCAAGGTCGACTCTAGTCAGAGGCTAGAAAGCAGGCAAAAAGTAATAAGCATATGAGTGGTGCAAGATATCTTTGAATAAGCACTATACAAATTTATTATACCAGCAAAGCTTCCTCCCTTTCTTGTGCAACCATTTGCCTACAACTCCATTCTCCATCTCTTACACAACCAAACGGCTAGTGGACTGAATATTTTGTTGCTGAATTCTGTGTGAAGCCAAGATAATCATGGCGCCCAAGAGGTCTTTTATGTCTACAGACCTACCACACTACCATACTCAATACTAGTTCCGCCATGCCATCTACCCCTGATTGAGTCTAGAATCAATCAAAGCATACCGTGTATAGCATCAAGCTAACACGAGATGAAAACAGAATTTGAAAAAGCGACACAAGACCCATTAATTCGGACGCACATACCCAAGACACAAAAGAACTAGAGCTTTTAAGTACAAAGGGAGCGTGAGATACTTGAGATGGATGTCTGAAGTCAATAATGGCTATCAAAGCAACGGATTTCTTTCAGGGTTATTTCATGCTGAGAATTCTAGGTTTCAATATAGCATGGCCTCTAATATCCCATATAGAAGTAATACAAGTCGCAACTTGTACCAGTTTGCAGTACTCCAGCACCAAACATACCACCTCGCAAAATAAATCCTAGAGATGCATGAGAAAAGTAAAAGTATCACCACCTGACCAGCAGTTCTCGCGTGTTCAAATAAATTTAATAATATCTTTGAACTCATCAAGCAGATCAATACCATTATCATGCCATGCTGCAGTCAAATCCATCCGACCGCCGATAACGGGAGAAACAGTAGCAACTGGAGACACAGGAGAGACAGGAGACGCAGACTGCTCAGGGTTCAGTGGTTTTTCATCGTTCGAAATGTTTGAACCATGAACCTGCAAAGCAGAAACAAAGGGGCTTTGCTTCACCCGCTTTGTGTGTTCTTCTATTTGAGTTGTGTCTTGTCTCGCTTTCCGTTTCAAGTTGGGAGGTGAGTCTACTCTTGTTGATAGTGGAAGTGTGCTCTGCTTGACAGAAAACTCTTTGTTTGTTGTCTTGGGTAGTCCCGTTGAGTCTGGTGGTGTGTCGTCCGGAATCTCGATTATCTCGTGTTGCGGGTTGGGAGTTGATGGCTTGATTTGGTCACTTTGAGGATGACCGGAACGTGGAGCAAAGGGAGAAGGTTCGGGGTCACTATGCTTCGTTTCAGTAACCAGAACATCTGTGAGGTTTCTCTTCGTCTGGTTTTGCACCAATAGAGAACCCGACGTTGCGAACCCTGATCCCCTGTTTCCGAGAAGACGCGATGGTGATGGTAAGTCATCGAAGGCTTGGTCGCCATAGTCACTGGAGAAGGAGTTCGCCGGGCTGTCTACCCGCTTTCTCTTGTATGAAGGAATGTTCTTGTCCCTCTCCGAAAGGACAGACTTCTCTCGACTTGGAGTCTTCTTTTTAGCTTGCGACATCGTCATCTTCTTTGCCTTTGAAACATGGTCGTCATTCTTAGGCACCGGGACACGTTGTTGAGCCGCTTGTTTTCCCGAATTCGAGTTATTGGTCGGGGTTGCCTTTGTGATGCTTGCGGAGATAGTCAGTTGGTTGAGACCAGCTTCCTGTTGAGTCGCAGGGATGGTCCGCTTCGGTGGCTTCGGGGCCTTTTCCAACCCCTCACGGCAGCAGAAATGTTTGCAGCTGGAAGGTAATTAGCTTAATTATAAAGAAAGTTATTGTTTCCACAAACCTTGTTTTGTCTTTACATTTGTGGTTACAAGCCCATTTGCCATTCGCAAGTCTAACTGGCTCGTATTCATCCACAGGCTCGTCCATATCCGCCGCCCAGTCATCTTCTCGGGTGTTTGAGACCTTCGGCGCTGCCTTAGCTGGACTTGGTGGAGTTGAATCAATTGAGAACCAATCTATATCATCAAACTCTCGAGGTTTTGGCTTTGTATCTTCCTTCGCTTTGTCACGATGTTCATTTGCAACGAGGAAATCATCGAGTTGCAAGTCATCGCCATCAAAATAGTCCACATCCCATCGAGCCTTGATCTTGTTGCTAGTCATATCTCGTTCGTGGGGACGAGACGTATTGGTCTTGGGGTTTTTCGCGTCTTTGGGATTAACATTCCCCTTCGGATGACGAGATGGTAGGTTCGAGGTTTCAGTATTCTGGGCATTGGTATTCTTATCTCGCATAGCGACGAATAGATGAGCTGGCAGGTTAGGCCTAAGCTCAGCTTGTCTCGATGTTCCCGCTGGGAAACTGTCAGTATGGATATAAGTGATGCATAAAGACAAAAGCAGAAGAAATCATCGCTCTTGTTCACGTTCGAGAATCTTACCAATTTCATCACACATAACATGGCACACAATGACATGCTCCGCACTCGTCAACTCCGCGGTGAGTTCAATTTCCAATTTCTCTTGGAGCTTGCTCGCACTGGAATGGCATTAGCATTTGCCTATAACAAATAGCTGGATGAACATCTCACCTTGTGCGTCTGAAATCGATCATATGGCCATCAGACGTCTCTATCAAGGAACAAACGTAAACCGGGCGACGTTGGAAGAACGTCGGGATCTTGTCATTCATGAACGCAACTTCAGCCTTGAATCGGACATTGACACAAGTTACTTTCACTTCCTGTAACGCACATTAGCAAAAACGACATTGAGTATCATAAGAGGTTGCAAACCTTTCCAAGCATCTTCACAGAAACCCTCAGTTTTGGAAATTCTTTCAATCTCGAGAGCAACTTCAAACCGAAAGGCGGATTCTTGCTAAGAACCATCTCAATCTGATGAGCCTCAGCACATTCCAGCGCTTCAATGCTGGTAATCCCAGCAGCTGCCAACTTGCGAACTGCAACAACACCCACTTGCTCGATCTGTTTCATTTGGAGAGGCGAGTGGTCCCAGACCTTTGCTCCGAAGCTCCGGGCGAGTTCAAGGGCATTGCGGATTGCGATTGAGTCGCCGCGGGCAATTTCACAATCAATAAGGCAGCGGATTAGTCGGTTGACATGCGCGAAGACTAGACTTTTGTCTTGCTGGAAGGTGAATTTGTGTTTCTGCAATTGCTCAGTATCGGGATAATCAATTGCTCCCAGCTCGGATTGAAGGAGTAGTGAGATCTTGTGGGCTGGGAGGGCTAGGTCGACCTTTATCGGAAAACGAATTCCTGAATCACGGTTAATCTCTCGGTAGAGTGATTTCTCGCCGGCTTTGAGGCGTATCTCGCGGAATTCTGCACCTTGTGCGATCACATTAAGCTGTAATAGTAAAGTCAGTTGAAGTGTTTCACTTCAGCAACGTGAACAGAATAGACTCACAATTTCAGACAAGTTTGCTTGTGGCTTCAGCGACAGTAGAACTTTCATAGTCTCGAACTGGATGTAATACCGAGCCATAGCGTCGCCAAACTGGGTTGAACCAAGGCTCTCAGCTTCGACCAAACCAGATTCCCGAAGGAGAACAATGTCCTTCTCGCAGATGTTGCGAAGCAACTCCTCCTCGTCTTCTTGATTCGCCCCTTCCTTGAGCTTGTAATGCGTCGGATTCCGACGCAGTCTTACAAACAAAAATGTGCCTGCGAGCCACTTGACAGCCGTTTCCACGTTCGAGATATTCCCCAGGCCGATCTCGGCATTGAGATGATCGATGAGATTCAAATGCAAACAGCTCTCCAAACTCTCAGAGCCCTGAACCAGTCTCTCGTAGTGAGACACACGTTCCTTCCTGGTGAGGATGACTGCTGTCGCACTGTCGTCGAATTGAGGTCGGCCCGCGCGGCCGAGCATCTGCATCATCTCCAAATCTGAGTACTCCTTGCAGCCTCCATCTTGCCAACTGACAGTGTTTTTGATAATGACGAGGTGGCAAGGCAGGTTAATTCCAACTGCAAGTGTAGACGTGCAGCATATGACGTTGATGTTCCCTTCTCTGAATCCTGTCTCAACAGTGTGGCGATCAGCAGGACCTAAGCCAGCATGGTGGAATGCTACACCAGCAGGAAGTGTTGCTATCTCTAATTAGCAATGTAAGTCTAGAAAAGAGCTCAGATACGTACTCTTGAGATCTTCGTTGTGAGCTTCCAGGAGCTTTTTGGGATCCTTCCAAAGCCTGGCGGGTGGATTTGTCAAGGTAAAAAGCCGGGCCAACTCTTTCGCCGTCGCGAGCGAGGAGTTTCGCGTGCAACAGAATATTAAGATGGGCTTCTTGTTTGAATGCAATGCGATCACCTCAGGTAACCTTTTCAAGTACCAATCAGTATATCAAACAAGTAAATTGAAACAAAGCAGAGACAGAAATAAAAGGCATCCAAGGACTTCAAGCAAGGGCCACCTACTTTGAACCGCAGACTTTATCGAATGCAAAGTCATTCAAGCTAGACGCGTACCCGTAGACAAGCTTCTTCAAGGCGACAGGACGAAACTCCTCGCCGAAATGCTCCCGGTGCGCAGGAACATGCTGGTTTGTCGCATCCTTCCCAAGCCAAGTAGCAATATCCTCAGAGTTGGGAACAGTAGCACTCAGCGCCACAAATCGCACATTCGATCCGATATTCTTCATCCGAGAAACCACAGCCTCAAGCGTAGCTCCACGCGTTTCCTTCAGAATGTGCACCTCGTCAATGAGAAAGAGTTTCACGAGCTGCATCAAATTCATATGATCTTTCCATTTCCGAGTCATGCTATCCCACTTCTCGGGCGTCGTGATGATGATCTGGCTACTCTGGACATTGCGCAGCTGCATGTGGTCCGTGTCTCCGGTTAGTTCTGCGCACTTGAGATTCAAGCTGGAGAACTTGGAGTGCCAATCTCGGAAACGTTCGCTGCAGAGGGACTTTGTGGGTGCCTGGTAGACGACTTTGAAGCGTTCGTCCTTGAGGGTGTTCAGGAGTCTACAGATGGCTAGTTCCATCACCACTGTCTTGCCACTTCCGGTTGGTGCGGACAGGACGATGTTGTCATTGCTATTGTATACGGAGTGAAAGGATTTAGATTGAATGGCATTGAAAAGAGGGAATGGAAACATCGAGCGGTAGTTCTCCGGTAGGTCATTCACTGATACGAGGACGATTCCCCGCACAGAGGGTGGTATATTGCTGAATGAATTGTTATGTTGTCTGTTGCCAGTCAAACCCTCGGGGCTCTCTTGGGTGATCGGCTCCTGGGGTGAAGAGTGACTAGTCTCATCACCGTGTGGGCCACGATTCGTCTCGAGGCTGCGCTGTCCTATACGGACCCCATCCTTCTTTGGACGGAACAAAGCCAACGGGCTCGAGGGTGGCCCCAATACAGGATCCGATGAACCGGATCCATTCCAGCGAGAAGAGATACTCGAGCTTGCTATTACATGTCAATCTTGAATCATCAAAATAGAAACACAACCGCTCGTATACAAGCAACTCACGCTGAAAGAAACGAGAGAATTGCGGTGGGTGTAGGTCAGGCTGACGAGACGCTTGAAGCGGCGTAGATCTAGGAGCTCCGGAGCCTGAGTCTTGAATTGTCTCCTCTCTATCTTCTGAGGCGAGTAGTGCCAGGTCTGATTTACATTAGCACCCATCATGATGATAAGCTAGCAGACTCACCAAAATCATCCAATTGATGATCCCCATCATGAGCGGGTGATCCCCGGCCATTGAAGGGCCGTTGGGAAGGCAATCGGAAGGGTTTAGAATTCGGGGTCGGATAATTTCTTCGCATCTTGAATTGTGTTCTCGGTGATTGGGATGGAATCTGGGGTTGGCGATGAATTTCAAAAGTGCCTGGTTCCAAGGTCCATGGTCCCGATAACGTGATGGCACGTGGACCGTCCCATACATTTGTAGTATATGAATATACTGTAGCAGTGTCTTTTCAAAATCAGTACGAATAGGAATTCCAAGTATTGTGGGGTATATGAAAGTGTTTCATTGCTTCGTATATATGCATACATGAGCCAAAGCCAGCAAACATCTTGACAGCAAGAGGACATGTGAAATTGGGCGGCGAAGAGTCGCTAGCCCCAAATTAGGAGCGACATCAAGAATAGTACAAAGGCTCGCGGCGGGCGGTTTTCTTGAAGACCGCACTTACATCCGCATCTATCAGGTATCCAATATCATTTCCCGTAAAGAAACATCTCATCACGTAGGTCAGTATCAATGTGCATAGCGAGTTAAAGCAATTATTTCTCGTCGAAATAGCTGCCCGTGTTTGCGTTTCGGCTAGAGCTCACTCTAGTATGGCCTGGTGCTGGTGAGGTTGGACGGGATGACGACATGCCGTCAGAGAGGAAAGGTGAGGTCGGAAGTTTGATAGAAAAGTCATTGGGAGGCGCCACGGGGGACCCATCAGGACCTGCGGGGTCCTTTTCGTAGGCATCGATGCGGATTGGAGGCGGACGCAAGGAGCCCATTGCAGGGTTGAAGGTGGGGTTTCCATAGTAGTGGGTTGCTACCAGGACTGCAGCCGAACCCAGGAGGAACTATAATGTCCTAGTCAGTCTTGTTCATAATATTCATGTGGAGGGAGACTGGGAAATGTTAGAGATGTAGGGGACGTACGCTTGCAGTGACCTCAAAGTCAAATAGCCAGATGCTTCCAACAATGCTCAAAATTATGTTGGCAGTTGTGGCCAGACTCCTTGCATCTTTCTGCGCTTGGCTGACGTAGAATGCAGAAACGATGCCACCCAAAGCTTGGACGATGATAGTAGACCACACCGCCCAATTGTAGCCCTGGAAGAAGCCATCCTCGGCGATTTTTTCGCCATCACGGAAGACAATTCCAATGAAGAGAGCCGGGAAAACGGAGTAGACAGCTAATTGCACATTGCGGACCCACAACGAGATATGGTTCGAGCTGTCCTTGAGGACTTTCTCGAAATAAATACTGGCAAGTCCAGAAGCCAAGGACGCGCCGATGGTCGCAAGGAGACCAATTGCGGGGTTCAAGTGTGGGTCAGCCGTCAGGATATCCTCTTCGATGCCCTCGTATGTTGCAGACCGCTTGTGCAAACTGCTGCCAGATCCAGCACCTTGCTTGACAGCCTTCCACTCTTCCAAGGATCGAGGGAAATGGTGGCTAGCATGATCTTCCTGCAGCATCTGCTCGGGGCTAGCATCGGGGATTTGCACCAACGCCACGCCCACGATAAGAAGCAAAAGCAGGCCCCACTTGCGGGGAGGGATGCTCCGTTTCAGGAGCATCAGACCAAATACCGCGGTTGTAAGGAACTTCAGCTGGAATGTAATCTGGAACGTCGCAGCGCGGAGGTTGGAGAGCGCAATGTACAGGAGGGAGTTGGACAAGACGTCGAGCGCGGCGGGGATAGCGAGTTTCCAGCTGTCGCCTGAGAATACGGCGCTTGTGAGGGAGAAAAAGAGGGAGGTGGCAGGCATCGAGGGCGGTGCAGTTTTGGAGACGTCGTAAAGTGCCATTGTGAGGGAGATAGCCAGCTTGACCACATCGACTAGGAACACCGCCGTAGAGGTCAGGTAGCGTTTACCACCGGCGGGGGGCATGACTCGAGAATAATGTGCTAGCTAGAATATCGTAAACACACAAATTAGCCTTCCATTCCATTCCCATCGCCAGTATTTTCCACAGTGGATGACTTACCAACACGAATGCAGTCGACTCCGCAGTCAACTACAAAGATACAAAGGCATGTTAGTGAACAGAATCTCCAAAACCACTTAGACGCCAACAAGCTCATACCAGTATCCATGGCGCAAGACTAGCCGCAGCTCGCAGCCCAGACGGCTGGCGTTGGGCGCGATCTCCCATAACGAAGTAGTAGGTCGCGTGTTCCCTCTAAACAGTGGCTAATGTTTCCGCAAAAGGAGCACGCAGTGCAATCCCCAGTCCGGTGAATGTGGCAAATGGTTTCAGTAGAGGGAGCGACAAGAATAACTGTGTACAATGTAGAGCGAACTGCAAATCTCAATTCGCGAACCAGGGGTGTGTTGTTCTGGAGATCTTCCCTTTTAGGTCCCGATAGGGTTTCCCGAGGCGATCGGAGGCGATGTGGGTGGCTGGGAGGCGAAGGAGAGGATGGGCGTAGGCTATCTCCACTTTATGAAGGAGAGTATGTCGAAGGACTTGAAAAGGACTTGAAAAAGAAAGGGAAAGGAGGATAGAGTGCTCAGGAAGCAATAATCTGGGGTTATAGAGGACAATCTCGGCGGTCAGAGAGAGTGGATCACGGAGAGAATCACAGGCCAGAGGTTCAAGCGTTGGTTTCTCGTTTTCTCGGCGTTAGGTAAGTGATGTGTACAAATATACCTAACAGTTGTGGGCATCTTTTTTGAGAATCTCATATCACATTTACGGAGTGCAATGTTTTGATGGCCAGCCCCCCTTAACCTTGGAAAGTTGTTGATCGATGACGTCGAACTGCTCAGGGCATCTCCACCTCATCCACAGCCCCCATTGTTATTCCCCCCGTGTCGTCATGAGATACTACTTCGTCAATATTGTAGACTGATTATTCCGAAGAAACATTTATACGCGTCTAAAAAGATCATCTAAAATGATATTGGAAAAAAACCCTTCGGAGATGTCCAGATTCTCCCAAGTCCGATATTTTTGAGTATAGAGGTCGTATAAGTGCCCAACTATTTCCCTTCTATATATGTGCAAAATTCTCATAGTGTGATATTACAATTCAAGTACGCGACGATGTTAGAAACTACTGCGAAGAGAGAGATATGAGCGGTGAATTTTGGAAGCCAATAGGACCAATGTCCGTAATGGCCACTATGCATTGTGATATACGAGTCAGGCTCAGCTGGACCATCATTTTGGGGTTGAACTAGGTGCAGAACCACGCAAGAACGTTGTATACAAGTTGGGTTGATTAATTGGGGATTATTGGGGATATTAATGACAACAATCGTGAGCCGGAAATAAAGGAATCGTGAGAGGCACGAAAACCATCCAAGTTAAACATGATAGCAGGTATAGAAGCCCGTGTGTGAACGCTAATTCAAAAATTAATGAAGGGATAGTGAGAAGAGACAAGGAAGAGGTCATATAGGAAAGGGACAAGATGTCTATGTGGTTGGGTAAACAGAAGCTTGGAGCAATGTGCTGCAAGATGCAATCGAGTCAAGGAAATGCAGGAAAGATTGTAGAGGGTCAAATCAAGTAAGAAGATACAGAGAGAGAGGAGGAGGGGTGAGAGAGAGAGAGAGAGAGAGAGAGAGAGAGAGAGAGTAGTGAAATAGGAAATGTAAGGGGTGTAGTGAGAGTGTTGGGTTGGGTATCGAGGGCCAAGCGATCAGTGCACAGAAGCGATATTGGCGCTTTCCCGGTTCCAATCAAAGTCAAAAGACCAGAGAGGAAGACCGTTGTTACGTTTCAACTCAGCGAGATCATCCAGCAGGATAGCCTCGCTACTATCGGTGCGACGGCGGGTATGCTGCTTCTGATCTTCGGGGATGGCAGGCGGGGGGCCACTTGGGGGTGGCCTGGGAGAGGGAAGCGGCGAGAAACGATGAATTGGCAAAGTAGGTGTCATCGGCGAAGCACCGCTGGTGGAAGGAGAGGGCAGGCTCTCAGAATAGTCCGCACTGAAACCAGAAGAGGAAATTTTGGTGAGGGGTTTCCGTTCATTATCCGAACCTGAGCTTTGGGAGGGCGTTCCATCTTTGTATTGGGTAGCGCCCTTTTCGGATCGGACGTCGAATGGCGGGAATACACTGCTGAGACGCAGGAATGAGGTGTCGGATCCGCAGAAGGAATCCCGCGATGGGCCAGAGGCCAGTGATCTTCTGTCCGCTCCAACAGCGTTGAGCAGGCTAGGTGTGACCTTGCCCTTTCGGATACGCATCGCCTCGAGGAGATCTTGCTCTTGGCGGGTCACGGCGATCACACGACTCCTCCGGTTTAACTCTTTCAACTCTGCGGGGGTGCGGAGAGGCTGCTGCGGGAATTGCGCCAGAATCTCATCCGGGATAGTAGGTACTCCACTCGAACGGCGAGGTTGCGTGGTACGTCCATTTTTCTGGGAAGAGTTCCCATTCGAGGATCGAGAGACCTTTCGTGGGCGAGCTACTGGCACTGGCAGGCTCTTTTCGGTTTGGCGGGAGCCATGGGTGCTAGTCGAGAGTGCCCGTTCAGAGCGTCTTACCGCCGTGGCAGAGGTCGCGTGGGCAGTGGAAGCCGTGTAGATCTGGGGCTCGTATTCGTCGTAAGTAGCCACACTGCCTCTCCGCGAATTGTTCGTATTGCGCTTCGACTCGGTTGTTGGAGTTCGGTCGTCATCCTCGTCCTCTGAAGAGGAGGAGAGGCAAAGCATACTAGTGTTTCGCAGATCTTTGTTTTTCAGGGTACTTTTGCTGCTCTTCTTAGTCAACGAGCTCTTCTCGCTCTTTGATTTTGACTCATCGGTCTTCCAAGATTCATGGGAAGTGCTCAAGCCGCGATCACGGTTTGGGTCTGGACCTGAGGCAGGACTCAAGTACGTCTCCTTATGTCGAGAGGAGCTTTGAGCACGTTTCGAGCTCTTCCGAGGTTCCTGGGGGCGTTCGTGTTCTTGGTGCAATTTCTCGTGGCTGGTAGTATACATGCTTGAGCGACTCAAAAGTGATCGCCGCCCTGCATATCGATCCAGGGCTAAATCAATCTCACTCGTTCCAACTGTCCGCTCAAGTGGTTGTTCCGACCACTCGCTATTTTTGGTCTCTGCAATTGAAGGTATATCTGAATTATCACCGCCATGCTTGGGTGGGTCATTTTTGGTGATCGAAGATCGGCGAGGAGGGGGAGGTGGGTCGACATATCTCCTAGTAGGATTGCTTGTACCGCCGGTTATCCTTTCAATTTTGTTGGAAGAAGAATCCGGAGCAACTGTAGAGACGGGAGAGGGGGAGTTGACCATTCGGTGGGGGGATAGAAGTGTTTGTGGTGCGGGATTCCGTGGTTTCGGGAACAATCCGGATAGGTCAATTTTTGGAGGGCGCATCTTCCGCTTAGATTCCTTCGGTGGATCCTGAGGCTGCTTGTATGTCACTTGTGGCTCAACACTGAGTTCATGTCGTACTCTAGGCTGGAGTCCTTGGCTCTTGGGTGATTTCGACGATTCTTTCGAGCTGAAATAGGAAAAAAGGGTGGACGAGGAACCGGAATGGTGAACTTTTTTCGACGACTTGGGCGAAAACTTGGGAAGCGGCGGCGCGGCCTCCTGTAATTGGTAGTCATGGCCTAGCAGAGGTGATGAAGCCCGTACACGAAGGTTTTGATCGGGCATCAGATGATTTTCCGAAGAGCGCGGGAACGGAACGAAGCCGGTGTTCTGCTTAGGAGCACTGTTGGGTGGCTTAACAAAGCTCGGTCGGGGTACATTTGGAGCCTCCTGCCACCCGCCATGTTCCGTGGGAAGTGATATATCGGTTCCGAAAAATCTTTGGGCCTTCGAGGTTCGCCGATCTGCCATTCGAGTCTGTTCCTGGGTGCTCATTGGGTCGTGTTGTGCCGCTTTGCGACTCGATGTTCGAAGCGGTACATGGACCGGGGTGAGTTCTCGGTTTCCCATGGTGGGAGAGGCAGTAGCAAGTTCAATTGCTCATGAAATCGTATGATGTGATGGCCTCATAGGCTCTCGGGCTCTGGGTGCACAAAAGATGTGGCAGCTGAGCGGGTCCCAGGTGGTTCAAGTATTATCTCGCTTCCGACTCAATCTACTCCACCAAATTAGTTATCTAAGTCATGCAATTTAGGGGAAATTGGGCTAGAACGCCAACGGACCTGAAAATAGAAATAAATGTTCACTGTTTGAGCATTGACTCGGGGATTTTTGGAGGGGGATAGGTATGATTGCGAAACAAAAGATCCGAGCAAAATGTGTGACAAGCAGGGGTCGGGATGTTTTTTTGTACGTGTACAGTGTCGAAGCAAATAATTTAGAACCGTGGAAGGACTGTTCTTACGGGGCTTAAAGGGGGAAGGACTCCACAGATGTCTTGAATAAAATCCTTATAGGCTGAACAGCAGTGTTTCATTTATTCCAATTTTAATTGGAAGTGGAGCACGGCATCTCCAAGCTGATCGGCATACGGGAGTACAATATTAGAAATAGTCATCCTTCGTATGTTGTAGGTACTTCGTACTCGATACTCCGTATTCCGTATAGGATGTGATATCTAAGGTTGCTTGTGATAGCTGTGAATCTGGTCTTCAGGGGGTTACCAAGTACGGAGTAGATGTTATGTACCTATAAGGGCTACATATCATGCTATTTAACATGCATTTGCATTACACTATTATTTTAGGGTGTTCGTACATTTGGATTTCACTTTTAACCATAGGAGATTTACCCCCTTACTGCGGCACCTGCAACCCTAAAAAATAGTCAACGCCCCGAACATGAAGAACGTGGTGGCTTTCTCCGTACTCCGTACTCCGTATTCTCCGTGGAATTACACTATTGACGCCTCCCATGAAATCCTGCTCACATCCTTGCTGTCGCTAATTGGAATTATTCACTTGTGCTCCACACATTCAGTCCAATTCCCCTCCTATCCACTCGCATGGATGCTTTTTCCCTAATCACAAGCTATCGCCAGAATGTGGAGTCCAGCCAAGGCTAGAGCCAGAAACTATGGAGAATCCACTACAATAGTTACGCAATTGCATCAATTCACCCACTACGGTCGCACGTCTGAGAGCACAGATCGACAAATCGATCGTTCACAGGCCCAATGCGCTGGAGCAAAGCTTTCTGAGATCTCGTTATGCAGGAGGCCCCAGTATTAATGTAGAGATGAAGTCTACCCCACTCAGCGCGCTCCGTGACAAATATCAGCCCGTCCCCTCCGTAATCGCCCCCCTAGCACCCTGGGGCAGTGAGATTTCAACTAAGAATACTCGGAAAACGCGTTTCCCGGGTAGCCATCGTACATGCACGTACAAAATCCCCCACAGGAACTGGCAATGATCGACTTGCATGTGGGCTCGCTCCTCTTTTAAACTCGACCTTTCACATGTGTTATTGGTCGGGAAGGAGCCGAAACATGAATAATATCGTTTGCGACTGACGGCCTGACAATTCATGGCTGTGAGTAACTCGCGAAGCCGCTGTACACCGAGGACCTATATTGTATGAGCCGACCTACGGAGTAGAGAGTAGTAATTTCCCTAAAAATAAACAGGCACATACACCACTATAAACAAACTTTGTATCCTTGCTACCCAGCCCATGTGCCGCGTCTTAGACCCACGAGGCGGAACAAGCAGTGATGACACTCCCGGGGGCGCAATTTCAATCAGATCCAGATCCCTGTTCCTTATGCATCCGAGATCGATTGACCGAACGCTGATCAATCTCCTGATATGTAATTAGCGGTTTTCGGTCTGCCGCTCCGAGGACTTGCGTATTCAGGCCAACAATACGGAGTGCTATGTCGATCAAAGGAAATGGACAGCATACACATCCTTCGAATAACCGTTAGAGACACTTCCTCCAGGGAATAATACTCCGTACGCCACATTTTACCCCAAGACCTGTCAAACGGAACATACTATTAAATCCAGGCTAATGGTTTGGCAGGCGGCTAGGTCGAATGGTCATGCGGATCCCCCCTGATGGTCGCCAATAGTCGACTCCAATAGCCTAGTCTTGTTCCAGGGTTTTGGATACGCTCTATTGTCGATCTATTGTCTCCCGTGCAGATCATGAAGCGAAAATCAGGGAAATCCTCCACATTTGACATCCCACTTTCCAAATTTTGAGCCTTTGCTCCTTACATCTTTTTGCCACAAAAATGCACTAAAATACATAAGAAACCCCAATTTGAATATCCAAGCAAGTAGGGTGTTAGGCCAAAAATAGCATGAAGATAGAACATGGAGATTCATATGGAGGAATGAGTATAGAAGAGCTTCCATCGCAAAGCTTCTTCTTTACGCGGTCAAGCTAGCTATGTATCTACTCCATAGTCCGTACTTACTCTAATATGATGTGCATGTTTAGTCTTGTGGACTGTGCTGTGTTCAAAATTTCCCAGTTCTCTGGAACGAGTGGATATCCAAAGATCTGGGGGGCAATAGTACTATACTCCGTAAACTACTGCGATCATTCCTCTATCTAAGCTTCATCTTCTTGACCTCCGGAGCAGACACGGAATCATCTTCAACCCCTTCTTCGTCTGCCAAATTCAGCAAACGCTTCGATACGCTGTTTGAGGTCTGTCCCTCAAAGAAATACCCATTGGTCGAAGGGTTAGAGCGAACCCGCTCCCAAAGTTTTGGTTGCCAGCGAGGGTCGATGGTATTATACCACTCAGCGGACTCACTCATGTTACCGTTCAAGATCGGTATACCAGACCGAGACCAATGTGACCGAATCATTGGCGGGGGGATAGGAGGTGGTATTTCATACTTCTCCGCAATCAGATAATGTGTCCATGTCGCAGTGTATGGAGTCACTTACATATTCCCGGATGAACAACATCGGGTCCAAGATTTCGCTGCAAATGGTATTGCAGGATGGGATTGTCTTGCGGAGCCAGAATTTGGAGCACCCTGTCTTATAGTAGTCTTTCATCTTGCTCCAATCGGCTGATTTCAGAATGCCAAGTTTCCGGATACTGTGGACTGTTGCACGAGCCTCGTCATCGCTGCAGTCTAGATGATATTAGATAAATCCTTTGAAGGATGGCAATTGTTCTTACTAAGATATCTGGCCAGCTGCCAATTCAAAGTTGGCGTTGCCCCCGTAGCAAGAACGCATTCGATTGTTTTGCGCATTCGGATAAGCTGAATTAGTTCTTTCATCAGATTACTATCAAAATCGTATCCGATCAAACAGTTGTAGCAGTAATGTATATCTGGAATTCGACTGTCTTTTACGGAATAGTAGCCATAACACAGGGTGTGCTGCCAGTCCTTGCAATTGGCACATTGTATCTTTCGAGATTGATTAGGACTAATGACTTATTAGATAGCATAGTTTCATGACTTACAGACTTGCTGGGCTTGAAGTTCCAAGTGTTGCACTCACACCGATAGCGACGCCAATCCTTATGCCCATACTTAGCCATGCTGCCACTTGGCCCAGGCAGATTCTCTTTTTTGTCTTTATTTTCCTCCTCTGGCTTCTTAAGGGCGCCGTGGCGAGTCTCAATATAGTCTATCGTCCTTGCTGCGACAGTGGGTTTCGATGCCGTGTCCTGCAAGCGACGAATATATTTAGCCGGGAAGAAGTTGATCCTAGACTCTTGGCGAGCCTTAGAAAGGTGAATCCCATCGCGGCTAACGGGAAATGTTGTGTAAACTTCCTCCTGTGACCAATTGAAAGGTACACTAGACTTTCTCGTGCGTTCAAGGGTGACCCTTGTTGTGCCAAAATTGGTTTCTGAAGAGTCATCCGAACCAACTTCGACGGACTTAGCCGCTGCCTGAGCCATTTTGTGCATCTGAGACTGATAAAATTCCACGTCTTCTTGCTTAAAGAAAATTCTCTCGTCCACTTTCTTCTCTGTCTACTGTAAATCAGCACTCGTTTAATAGTTTGGATGGAAGCGTTAGTTAAGGAAAACTGACATATCGAAGGGATTCTCTGCTAGCCTTCCTTACAGATCTCATCTTGGTCGCAATTGACAAGTATTGATGACCTGGGAACTCTTCAGAAAAGTCTATTGCATCTGTATCGAATGAAAGATTTAGTGATAATGTTAAGAAAGTGGAGTAGCGACGAGTATTCACCATCGGTGCCACCAGCAGTGCTTTCATCCGTGGAGATATATATGTCCCCAACTACGTCCAATGGCATTTGAGCAGGTGTGGGAATGCCGACCTCTTCAGAGCGTAGCACTGCTTCTTCGTTCGCCTCCTCCGCGAAAGGGAAATGAGCCTCGCCAACGGGTGAGGTAGAAATGAGAGAATTCACTCTCAACCCGACTCTTCTATATGTTAGTACTAAGCCTCCATTGAATAAAAGGAGATTTTGAACAAGTAAGGAAACATACGTGTGAAAGCCGCTGTCAATGCTTCCGTAAAATCGCCTCGTCCTTTCCCAGTAGGAAGTCCGCGGATATTCGATAGTGTCGTCTTGAGAATCAGCAAACCCATGCACATCATAGGATGCAGGGCATTCCGGCTTATAGAATACATGTATTCCCAAGCTGCGCTCGTCTATTCAACTTGTAAGTGGTAACACCAGGAATGGGCAACAATAGAGTGCACATACTAGGTAATGCTGGGCTTTCAGCACACATCGTGATCAACCGTCTGATGAGGGCCTTCCCTTCGAAAATCATATTACGCATGCTCGCTCGATCCTCATGAGGGCTGACGAAATCCATCCTTGGGCCGTTTGTTAGACGATCGGCGGTGCCGCGCTCACCGAAATTGTCGAAGGTGAAGGTGTAAGATTCTAGAACTTTGTTTGGCAAGTCTTTGTTCGCAATGATAGTAAACTGGAGGGCATGTAGGTCGCCTCTTAGTAGAGCATCAAAGATGCCATATTCCCAAAGAGATATTAGCACCGCTCAACAAATCTCAATGTACATCGATGGACTCACTAAAAGGTCCAGAAGCTTATCGGCTTCGTCGCTCATGTGTCTTTCAATCGCCCATATAGGAACATATTCTGATCGGTTACGTGCGAAGTTGCCCTTGCTCTTCCCATTTACAAAATTGGCATAGGTATAGCGCTCGTGGAAGCGGTTTGCTCGCAGAATCCGCTCGCCGAAGACTTGCATGGGCAATAATCCACTAAATTCTATGTGTTAGAACATAAGGGTAAATTCCAAGGTTATTTAGGGCATGACTAACCGCATAAATAAGAGCGATGCGATCTATATTGGGGATATTAGATCATAGCCTGGACCTTGGAAATCAACTTACGGTCATGTGTAGTGTTATCTTCATTAACTCCAAGCTTTGCTCCTATTACACAATAAAAGTTGATTAGGTTCATCTCGAGTGCTATCAGTTCAAAGGAACTACTCACGATCACGGGAAACCGGTGGATTTTATTCGCTTGAATTTCAGGCTGGTGTGCGCCAGACTGAGGGGCAGCCTCTAAAGCTACGTTTTTCTTAGAGCGAGGCATAATTCTGGCAGTATGAGTATAACAACTCGAAAGCGAGGAATTCAACCTTGTAATGGGAGAAGACGAGGATAGTATATTTCTATGCGAAATGTGGACAAAGAGGTACAAAGAAAATTTAGAACTGCAAGCTCTAAGAATAAAATCTCTTTTGCTTCAGTCGCTAGGCATTAACAAAGGAGTACCGTATACCTTGGAACTCAAGTCTATTCATAGATCCTGGAAGTAATGACCACCCTGATATGACTATAGTGAGGCTTCAGTCGTCTACCTATCCTTTGTTTTTGTTTTTTTACATCACCAATCTCTAAACGTCACTTTGCTCTGAAATATATATCAGGGCAATTTTGTCTTCTATCGGGTTTCCAGCGAACAAGGGCTGGGTGATTCAACGTCAAAATATATTTCTCTATAAAGCCCTCACCTGTCAAGCCAAGCATAATACTATGAAATACTTCAAACAAGGAATATTATCGGAGGCAAGGCTGAAGAGTTGTAGTACGTAAAAGCAACCAAACCCTAAATAGATGTGGGGGAGGCCGAGACATTGCAGAGATCAGTGGGTGGATAGGGTAACACTTGCCTAGCGTAAGTATATAGTAAGGGGCAACAGACCACTCCATACAAGTTGATTAATTTGGGCCCCTGTGCCCTGTGCCCTGTGCCCTGTATCTCGTGCCCAATGAGCCCCTGATATATAATTTCTTCAACATAACAATGAGATACAACCTCGTGCCAAGAAGCCACCCGAGGCACGCCCCCACCTCACGTGATATGTGGCGATGGCAAATCAAAAACTTTGATAGAATATGATTTGGATGAATGGATTATGATATACAAAGTATGTTATTTAGGGGCAAATACCTGGGAAAATATGAATCGATTACATCCTTGACCTTTGTCGTATATAGAAAAGCCTCACACAAGATATGCTTTTTTTTACCGCCTTCACATATAACAAGACATCTAAAAAGAAACTTAAGAAGAACAGCTAAAAATACCAGCTAAAAAGACATCACAAGGCCACATAACCGGCCATATATCATTGTTATATGTTGTAAATGCTTTGGATTCAAGGAAGTCAAGAAGTAAGCCTGCTTATCTGACTGTCATATCCTCGGTCCCACCTCTATCAGGTCATGATCTCTGCCGGTCTAGAGCAGAACCAGGGGGTTTTTCTCCAAGTATCACACTCGGATCATTTGAATTTGACATAGATAATAATCCCGGTAGAGTATCCATATATTTAAAAATAAATTTCAACAAAATAGCAAAGAATTATGAAAAAATGCAAGATTCCCCCCAAAAAAAGAGGTAGCACGTTGGGCCATGACATCGTCCACCTACGGGAACCGGAATAAATGTTGTTCTCCGCCCCAACTCCTTGTCAGCCGCCACTGTTTCTTTCTCCCCTTCCCTCTGCTTCCTTGCTTCCATTTATTTGTGTTTTGTTTCCCCCCCCTAAAAACATTGAACTCTTGATTATTCTTTCTGAACACTATGTGCTAAATGCCCTTTGCATCGATGATTTCGCTGGTGTACCGCGCTGAGGGGGTGTTTTGCTAAAAAAAAAAGGAAATCCGGGGCATCACACAGTTCCTTTGTCCTCTTGCACATGAGCTTGCTTTACAATGACTTCAAATGCTCCCACCTCCCTTCAAATATCTGAGGTTGACTCGGCTTTGACCGATCACAACGCGTCCGTGTCTGCACCCTCTCATGCGACCCACAGCCCCGGGTCTCGATTCATTCATCCTCGAAAACGCGAAATGGACGAAAGAGAGGAGCTGGGCCAAGAGCCATCAAACACGGCTATCGGACAGTTTACCTTCGCCCCTACCACCCGAACTACGGTCGTAACGACCACTACAACCACGACTACCTCCTTTCCGCCTTTGACAATCAACCCCCCACGAGCCGTCAAGGATTTGGACACCCGACAGTACCCTCTTGCATCATCTCCGACTCCAGCGGCCCTAAGAAACCTCAAGTTCAAGATCGGCGACAAGTCGATCATCTTTAACGAGCCCGAGGATACCGCAAATACTGCCGCTGAGGTACGATTCTATCCTACCCGTCCGGTTTCGTTGGTTCCACTGCTCACATTATAATGATATATAGTACAAGGAGAAAAGCGAGGCGTTGAAATCTTCAAATGGCCAGATTCGCTCCGTGAACTCGTTCATCTCCGAGGGCGAGAACCCCACTCGGCGTCTGACCCCTCCTAGAATAGTGAGCCAACCTTATAGTCACCCTTCCAGCACTCGCCGTCGTGCCGTCTCTCCCATCGCACTGTTTGATCATCGACCCTCGATTCTTCCGCGAACTCGCCCGTCACGGGTTCCTTCTGAGCCCATCACACGCCGAACTCGCCAAAGTGGCGTGGGATCAACTCATCTTGCCGCTGGCCTTGCCACCCCAGACACCGAAAGCAACCTGGGGGGACTTGGTGAAACTTCGGCTCCGAGACCGAGAATCCATAGCTCGGTGTTTCCGCGCAGAGAACCTCCTTTGCCGTCACCTCTCTCCTCTGAAATCGGAGCTAAAGGCTTACAGGCATCCAATCAAAACTCTTACTTGCAGAATGCATTGTCCGGGATTCGTTCAAACCCCGGAACTCAGGAGTCCCAGGCCACTGAAGCGGATAAGAGTTGCTCAACTGCACATGAATCGGCTTCATTTGGTCATGACACAACATATGGAACCCAGGAACCCGCATCGCAAGAAAGACCCGAGCTGATGTCTCAACTATCGGCAATAGACAATGCCATGGCGCAAGATATGTGTCTCCCGAGCCCGAGTCTCTCGCCGGTCGCTGCTATGAATGCCCTCCATGGCGAATCCTCCTTCGAGTCGGAAGGGCTTGACGTTGATACAGATTCCAGTCTGGATCATAATGTCTCGCGTTTTTCTAAGGCTTTGCGGCTCCAGGATGCAGATGAGACCCTGGCAAATGGCCATTCTCTCGCAAATTCACAGTCACCTTCCTCCCTTTTAGATATTCCCAAGGTGTTGGACTTCTTTGATTCGGTGCCTGATGAGGTCAAAACGTATCTCATGTATCAATTCCTTCGGAGATGCCCTAAACCTACTCTCCATTTCGTGGCCGATGTGGTTAATCCGACTTTAAAGTGCGACTTCCTGGCTCTTCTGCCTCTTGAGCTTAGTCTCAACATCGTCAAATACCTTGACGTTCAGACCATGTGCCGTGCCGCGCAGGTGTCTAAGAAGTGGAGACACGTCACGAATTCCGATGAAAAGAGCTGGAAGAATCTCCTTGACCAGGATGGATATCATCTCTCCGACGGAGAATTGGAACGGGCTATAAGACAGGGATGGGGATGGCAGTTGCCCAGCGGCCCTGAAGATCACGAGGAAGATCTCAGCCTCGTGGCCCTATCCAGGGGCGATATGGAGGCGTCGCCTGTCCCTTCGATGGCGGGTCCCAGCAGCAGAAGCCCTCTGGTGTCTCTGCCAATCAACCGACGAGGCAAGCGCAAGGCAAATACGCGTGCTTCAAGCCGCAAGCTTGCCAAGCGAAAGGTCTCATCCAGTGGAGGAGACATTGCCGAGCCAGACTGGAGGAGAGACATTGCTGCATCCGAGGCCCCATACGCCGCTGCCAACGCTGCAGCTGCGGCTGTGCCCTATGCTGAAGTAGGTCTGCCATCCCTCCGTGGGCTGTTCCTCTTCAAGGTCCTCTACCGTCGCCATGTTGCCATTCACAAGGGATGGATGCAACCGGATGTCAAGCCGCAACATATCGCTTTCCGTGCTCATGACCGCCATGTTGTTACTTGCCTGCAATTTGACGCTGACAAGGTTCTTACCGGAAGCGATGACACGAACATCAACGTGTACGACACTAAAACAGGTGCGTTGCAGGCAACATTGGAGGGCCACGAGGGTGGAGTTTGGGCTCTTGAATATCATGGCAACACGCTAGTCTCCGGTTCCACTGATCGCTCAGTGCGAGTCTGGGACATTGAGCGAGCCAGGTGTACTCAGATCTTCCACGGCCACACCTCCACCGTCCGATGCTTGCAAATCGTCCTGCCCACTGAGGTAGGTAGAGATGCAGATGGCCAGCCTGAAATTATGCCCAAAGAACCATTGATCATTACTGGGTCTCGTGACTCGAACCTTCGGGTGTGGAAGCTTCCCAAACCTGGTGACCCAGTCTACTATCAGAGTGGTCCTTCAGCGGATGACGCTAGCTGTCCATACTTCATGCGTGTGCTCACCGGCCATCAGCACTCTGTTCGTGCAATTGCAGCCCACGGTGATACCCTTGTGAGTGGTAGCTACGATTGCACGGTGAAGGTCTGGAAGATTTCCACCGGACAAACTTTACATACTCTGCAGGGTCACTCGATGAAAGTGTATAGCGTGGTTCTTGACCACAAGCGCAATCGTTGCATCAGTGGAGCCATGGACCACATGGTCAAGGTGTGGTCACTAGACGATGGCGCCGTCCTATACAACCTCGAAGGCCATACCTCCCTCGTTGGTCTGCTCGCTTTAGAGCACGATTTCCTTGTCTCGGCTGCCGCTGATTCCACCCTCCGAATCTGGGACTCCGTGCACGGCCACTGCAAGAACACCTTGAGTGCACACACCGGGGCCATCACCTGCTTCCAGCATGATGGGCAGAAGGTTATCTCTGGGTCCGATCGGACACTGAAGATGTGGGATGTACGAAACGGCGAGTGTGTTCGAGACCTCCTCACAGACCTCAGTGGCGTGTGGCAGGTCAAGTTCAATGACCGGAGATGTGTTGCCGCGGTGCAACGTGACAACTTGACTTATATCGAAGTAAGTGTTCTCTAATGATGCCCCCCGATCCTTTATGCTAATATTGCTTCCACCCAGGTTCTCGATTTTGGTGCTGCACGGGATGGAGTCCCGGAAAGCAAGCTTGCGAAACGCATCGTCGTCAACCGACGTGGGCAGGAGGTCCTCGGTGGAATCGAAGATGATGACGACTTGTCTGATTGAGATGTCTAGGCCGCATTTCTCTTCGACTTGAATCAATACTTCACCATCCGACAATCTTCCTCCTTATACTCCTTACTCCCTTTCCTCTATCTTCTCTTCTCTTCTCACTCTATTCCCCCATTCACGATACCCATCCTTACAGCTCTCGTCTTCCATCGGAACAAATATCCTTTGCATAGCGTGGTCGGCATTCTTTGGTCTTGCAGCATTACGATAAGGGGCCAGGCGTTGTTTTTCCCATATTTTTCTCATCATCTCTTATGTGGAGGTTTCTATCATTCTGTATTCCCAAATATTTGCCTATCCCCATGCATCCTGTCATTGATACGTTTTCTTTGTCTTTTCCCAATGCGTATGTGACTTCCCATCCTGTTGCCTGCCAGATCGGTGATTCTTTTACATATTTTTCGTCTTGCTTTGTCCGTATCGGACTGCTCATAATAGATTGATTACCTATGATCTTTCATTGCAAATCATTTCATGAGTTGAGTTAGTGCAAGATTTTCTTGTAATTGCATTGGTATAGTACATATGTATTCTGCTTACAGCAGCTAGTTCTAAATAGCGAAGCATTCAAATACTTCGAACATGAACCATAGTGTTACTTGACTGGCCCAGATATGCTGTCGTAGACCCATGCTGGCTAGCTCTGATGGCGTATGATAGCTCGGCACGCCCGATCTAAGGACTGGCTGTCATGCCCAGGAAAAGCCGGATATCTCAATCATCGCCCTAGAAAAGGAACGAAAGGTGCAGAATCTCATCTCTGGCCCATAGATATACGCGCTCGGGGAAGGGCTGATCGTACCTGACTAGCCGCACCTAGGAGTCAAGCCTAAAAAACTCGACGGGTATAGTTTCGAATTTAGACAACACAGCATGCCCTTTCACGACAAAGTTGCCGGTTTCTCTGCAGGAGGCGGTACAGCGAGCCGACCACCCTGCAAGCTCCCATCAATCCCAGCAGCAGACAATATCGACCAACGAACAGCATCGATCCCCAGTGACCGGCCAGGTCCAATCTTTGCCTCAGCACTACACGTCAAAATCTCACCCAAAGACCCAGGCCCCTCCGAAGCCCGTGGGTCTGGCTGGACAATGGGTTTGATACCCTGGAGCAAGCGTTGTAGTCGCTCGATATTGGCGGGCGTGACTCCGGTCTTTATCTGCTTCAATTGCCGAACGAGGAATTTGTCGACTTTGGATAGAATAATCTGGTGTGGGATTGCGTGGTGCCGGAATAGTCTGAGGATCTCGGCGTCTGTTTGCTTGATGCCGTGTGTGCTGTCGATGAGAAGGAATGCGCGACGGAGTCTATAATATCTTCGTTAGTGATTGTACACCATGGATGGGCAGGTTTTCTCATATGTTTCATGTGGCACATGGAATAGGCATAACTCACTGCTTCCGTCCCTGGAGGTACTTCATAATCTCCGCTCCCCACTCAGATCGACTCGCCTTTCCGTATCCCGGCATGTCAAGCAGCACAACCTTCGACTCGCCGCCCTTTGTACCTCCAATCCCGAACGCGTTCATTTCCCTCGTCCGGCCTGGCTTCGATGACGTCCAGCAAATCTCCTGGCCCATTATTGCGTTCAGTAGCGAGCTCTTGCCGACATTTGACCGGCCCAAGAATGCGACTTCCGGTTCGACTGATGCAAATGGCGTGGTGCGGAATTTGGCCGCGGACCAGAGTTTTAGCGGTGAATGACGCGACGGTGTGAATACCTTATCGGCGAAGGCTAATTGCTCCTCTTTGGGAGCTCTTGTATCCCAGTAGTAGCAGAGGTCGGACGGGGTGAGGTCTTTGAGTTCGCGTTTGGAATTGGGATTCGAGGCTGAGGATAGGGCTCGTATTGTTGTATATAATGATATCCTGGATGCAGAGTTCCTGCATTTTGGTATTGAGTTCATCATAACTCTCAGATACCTGAAAAGGATGTCGACAAAAGCCAAAAAAAAAGTAGAGTTGATATCGATTTCTCCAGATCGGTGCACGGAGCAAGTCGCCCGAGCCAAGACCGCATCATCAGCTATCGCATCCAGATAAGACTGACATTCTCCCCAACTTCCCAGGTTGTTCCATACTTCACCAGTCAAGATGATCAACGCAGTCCTCGTCTTCAATAACAATGGCCAGCCCCGGCTGACCAAGTTCTACACACAGCTGGTGAGTATAGCCCCGCCGCGCTCGCGCACTCGCGCACCCGCACAGGACAAGCCCCAAACTAACTCCAGAAAACAGGACACGCAAACACAGCAATCCTTGATCGCGCAAATATATCGTCTAGTCGCGCAGCGTCCAGCAAGCGCCTGCAACTTCCTCCCTCTACCACCTCTCCTCTCGCAAGGCGCCAGCTCCTCCGCCTCCGGACCCTCCGATACCCCCACGCAAATCACATACCGGACGTACGCAACGCTATCGTTCATCATGATCTCCACATCCACCGAGTCCCCGCTCGCTCTGATTGATCTGATTCAAGTATTTGTCGAGGCGCTGGATCGCATGTTCGAGAATGTCTGCGAGTTGGATCTTATTTTCGGATATGAGACTCTACATGCTGTCCTTGGTGAGATGATTGTTGGTGGTGTTGTTGTCGAGACGCATATTGAGAAGATCATCGCTGGTGTGCGTGCTCAGGAGGGATCTCTAGGAAAGAAGAAGGCTGTTCAGGCTGCTAGTACTAGCTTGGGTCGTGGGGCTTTGCCTGGGCTGGGGGCTTGGAGGTGATCTATGGATGATAGATGATTTCTCTTTTGATGACCTGCATATTGATGGATCTAACGACCACGACGTCTGATTTGGTCTATCTAAGGCGTTCTGTTTACGCATTCTAGATTTGCTTTCGCAGGATTTAGGAGTGGTGTTTTAGACCTTTCGGGTATTGATGTCTTTTAATGATGTATTGAGTGATGTGATTGTACATTGTGAAGTTCTGTAGAGCCAAATACTCATATGCTCTTCGGTGTATCTAAACCGGGATTTTTGAGACCCATTTGCGTTTACTACTGGGCTGGGTTTTCGGGCGTGCGTGTTGGGAGTGGCTATTTTGATCCAAGGCTGTCCATGAATTGACTTAGTAATAGTTGTATATATATCGTGGTTCTCCACACTCTGGGATTACACTAGTAATAATGATAGGCTTTTTAGTATAGTTAAGATACTAGCCTTAATTAATCTAGAACTATTTTATTGCCAAATGGTAGGCGAAAAAAGTACTCCAGATGAGACATTAACTCCCAGCCCTTGAGAAGAAACCTCCAAGCTGAATCATTCCATTGACCCCAAAGGTTATATTTGCTATTTACCGACCTAGAAGCAGCATTTGCAAGTAAACCCGCAAGACCTGAGAGCTAGCATTTTGCGGGGGAAAGGCGATTGGGGTTGGTTGTTTGCGCATGTGGATATTGGCAAAGCGTGCTGTATTCCAGACTGACTCTTTTGCCATCTGCAAGATCAGAGGCATAGAAAATCGATACCGACGGAAGGGTTTAGCATCGTCCTTTTCGATTCCTTCGCGAGGAAAATGGAAGTCATTGCAAGGAATAGAGAGTCGTGAGGGGGGAACAATTGCTTCAATTGGGCATAGGAATGTGAGCCCCATCGCCTAGTGTTAAGGCAATCCGATCGCAGGCTAGACTAATTGCACCAGCTCGATTACAGATTCAGTCATATCTGCAAGTGCTCCCCTTGGGATCATACTTGCAAGGTTTGCTATATTGCCATAAAGTATTAGTTTCCAGAGTTCTTTAACGCGGAATCCGAGCGCCCTGTATAGATCGATGTACATCATAGGAGAGTCCTACCAGGTGTGGTGTCCACGGGTAACTCTAGACTTCTAGAGAGACAACGCCATGACCAATCCAGATTTGGAGTAGGTACCTTAGGGCCGATCTTTCCGTACCCCCGGTGGTTAGCGTGCTGTCATCTAAACAGTAGACTGTATTTTGACATCATTTCAATTGAAGCAATTTTTATCTTGGGGAGATTCAGCGGCATGATGAAAGATCAGCAAGCTTATTTATTCCTCGTGTTTATGGGGAATTACAAGATTTGTATGAGGTTTTTAAGGAAGGTACCCTCCATCGCTGCTGCCACGATCTTGAAGATGAATGTCATGTGACCTGAATCACGTGGTCAGGTCAACATGCCCTAGTGGATTGCCCTAGCCCTGGTCACATGAGCGCGCTAGCGCGACCCACAGAAACTTCATAAGGTGCATCCACACGAACTTTTCCCTTTCTCATCCGTCAACCGTCAATCAGCGCAATCCCAGTCGACAAAATGGTGGTGAGTACATAAATTGTCTCTTGATAACATCAGAGGCTTCTTCTAGTTCCTGCGATGTCTCACGACATTCGCTTTGCTTCAGATCTTTTGATCTAAGCAATTCCGCCGATCGCGCGCAGCCTCGAAAGAGATGTGTCGCGCATCGTGTGATGATTTTGGCTGGAAGCATGGAGTCAATGCCCGTAACACGGCTTGGCTCATGTTCTCCTTAGAGTTCAAAGAAGATGCAGCACTATGTGAACAGCACGCTGATCTTCTTCCTCAATGATAGCCTCCTACTAAGTCCGGAAAGAAGACCGCCGCTCTGCCCTACCCCCAGGGCAAGGCTGGCGCTGGCAAGAAGGCTGCCAAGGTACGTTTTTCTTCTTCCCCTTTAGGAGTTGCATTGAGCTTTGAAGATCGCTAACCTTCTTTCCACAGAACCCCCTTATCGAGAAGCGCACTCGCAACTTCGGTATCGGCCAGGACATCCAGCCCCGTCGCAACCTCTCCCGCTTCGTTAAGTGGCCCGAGTATGTCCGTCTTCAGCGCCAGAAGAAGATCCTGAACATGCGCCTGAAGGTTCCCCCTTCAATTGCTCAGTTCCAGGCCACTCTCGACCGCAACACCGCTGCCCAGACCTTCAAGCTCCTCTCCAAGTACCGTCCTGAGACCAAGGCCGAGAAGAAGGAGCGTCTCGTCCAGGAGGCTACCGCCGTCTCCGAGGGCAAGAAGAAGGAGGATGTCTCCAAGAAGCCCTACAACGTCAAGTACGGTCTCAACCACGTCGTCGGACTCGTTGAGAACAAGAAGGCTTCCCTCGTCCTCATCGCCCACGATGTCGACCCCATTGAGTTGGTTGTCTTCCTTCCCGCTCTCTGCCGCAAGATGGGTGTCCCCTACGCCATTGTCAAGGGTAAGGCCCGTCTCGGCACAGTCGTCCACAAGAAGACCTCCGCCGTTCTCGCCCTGACCGAGACCCGCGCTGAGGACAAGGCCGAGTTCGCCAAGCTCCTCTCCGCCATCAAGGAGGGTTACACCGACAAGAACGAGGACTCCCGCCGCCACTGGGGTGGTGGTATCATGGGCGCCAAGGCCAACGCCCGCATCGAGAAGAAGCAGAAGGCTCTCGATGCCGCCATCAAGGTTTAAGCTTGTGTAACTACAGCTTTTCCTCTGATGTCTGTTTGACGGGATCGTTTTCTAATCGAAGCGCTCGGATCTCAAAAATAATAAGTTATGATGGGAAACGACGAGGCGTTGAAGGCTTTGACGATCTATTGACGGCCAATTCTTTTAGCTTTAGATGGGTGCGAAAGAGCCCTTTGGCCCTTTTTGGATCCTGTTCTAACAAAAAAAGACACATTTTTCTCTCACGAACTCCAATGGCCCTATGTACCACTTTTCTGCAGATACCCATGAATGCATTTCTCTACCTGTTCAATCTATTGATGGTCTTTGTACTCCCATCAGAACTAGGCATTCATGTCGTCTGCTTCGTATTTGTAGTGTATGATGTACTTGATTATAATCTGTCCAAATCCATATGCAGGTGGTAGACAAATCTCTTAAATATCCATCTCTTGATCGGCGAAATTTCACTCAATCAAGATTTTTCACCTCTTCGCCTCCCGCTTTGTGTGGGATCTGCGAGGCACCTGCGACACCTGCCAAGAATACCAAGTCTTTTCTAAGTGATAGACCCGTCTTGGCACATATGTTAAACGTCTCTACATACTCTTGTCAAACGGTCTTGCATTAAAGAAATAGACAACATGGCTGTTTAATAAAGGCTGGAAGATACAAGGCCAGGTACGCTATATATATCTATGGATGGTAGGTGGGGTGGAGGGGTAATTCCCCCCTGTATGTCACATTCAATCTGTGTAAACACAAGAATATATATTATTCATATTCCCTATAAGAATATCTAGAACTGGTTTCCGTTGTTGTCATAAGCCTCGTGGACCTGCTCTCTGGCCTGGTACTTGGCCCTCTCCTTGTCAAAGAAGTCCAATCCTCTGGTCTCAACCTCACGGTCGACAAAGGCACCAGCGAATCCAGCCAGGATCTCCTTGGCCTTTGCGTGGCTCTCGGGCTCGCCTATTACAGACAAAAAGAAGTATCAGCCTTTCTGTGTCTCTTGACTTGGCTTTGTGTACCGAATGGCCACCAGTGGGGGGAGGGGGATGGATGTATATGTACCGTTCTGAGCAACGTGGTTCTCGTAGGCCTTGGCGGCCTCGTAGCTGGCGGCACCGGCGATCAGCTCGTGGATCACGGAAGGATCGTGCTCTTGCTGGCCGTTGTAGGTGTTGTAGGCCTGAGCCTGATCGGAGTCGTCTAGGGAATTGTGTGTTAGTGGAAGGTTGGTATCAAAGGAAGGATAAAAGAGGATGGATACTCACCACTGAACCAGCCCATTTTGAATTGAATTGTGAAGAAAAGTGGTAAGAGAGAATTGAGAAGAGTAGTGAAACATGAGGAAGAGGGGTAGACTAGTGGGTTTTATACTCTCCCACTAGTGCCACTTCATCATTTGCGGTCACATCATTGAGGGGCATATGCTCCCGAGCTCAGACCAGTCATAGAAGGCGACGCTAACTTTAGTCTAGTCAGAATATAGATGAAACAGAGGTGTACGTAGTACAAGTAAAACAATCACCGGAGCGAGAAATAGATAGTAATAACGAAAGAGGTTTATTACACCCCCAAACAACCTAAATACCAGGAACCGATAGTCATGAGCAGAATAAGAGAAGACAAGGCTGGTATGATGAAATTACAGTAAGATCCAGAGGCCCACGGCCAAAGCATAGAATGAAAAAAAAGTACAAAGAAACTCAAAAGCCCAGCCGTATGCTCCCAGAAGACCAGAGATGCTCACCGCCGATTTTTTCCAATATGAATGATGACACTGAGAAACCCCGTCTAAAGACACAAGTTGAAGCAAAAGCAAGCGAAGAAGGTGTATAATGTGAAGAAGGACGAGACATAAACGTGATCGCGGTCATTTGGTCATTAACGTTGAGGAGGTCGTGAAAGCCCTTGTCGTACCTGGATTTTTGTTAGCCAGTTCGGAGATAAGTGTTCGGACCACAATCACTCACCTTCATTTGTTCAATTCTCGCCTTCAGTTGGCTAGTGACTTCCGCGGCTCGCTTCCAGTTCTCTGCCGGTTCAGAAGATCTGGGCTGGTGGTGGTCGTCTTCGGTGAAATTTGTGTTGGAGTTTCGGGCGGATGAGCGCGTCGGGCTACCAACGGCCGAGTAACCGTATGTAGGGCTCAAGTTGCGTCGGCCTAGGCCGCCATTGCGACTGCTGGGTCCTGGTGATTCTACGCCGTTGTTCTCCCTCTCCTCACTGGGGGTAGCAGAGGCGTAGCTTCGAGGACGCGAGGTTTCGAAGCGGGATCCCATGTGAAGACCAGATCGTGTAGCAGCATTGCCATTGCCGAGGTGGTCTTGATAGATGGAGCTGGTGTCTGGCATACCCATGCTCCCTGTATCGGAGGTAGCGTTAGGTGGGCTTATGGCAGATGCGCGAAGTGCTCGTGCAAGTTCACGCTTCAATCTTTCGATCTCTCTCTGCTGTTTTTGAACACTCCCCTCCGCAGTTTCCGCGTCACTCCGGGCTCGAACAAGTTGAGTCTCTTTCGCCTTGATGCTCAAGACATCGCGGGTGTGGTCCTCAATCAGCTGTGCATTCTGGTTCTGCAGTTCAGTGATCGTTGAGTTAAGCCTTGAACGCTCGGACTTCATATCTTCCACGATTCGGTTGAAGTTTTCCTTCTCCGCCCGTAATGCCTCTAACTCAGCACGCTCGGCGGCTGCCATAGCATTCGCAGCAGGTGAAGGAGCAGGGGCAGGTTCAGCAGGCGCTGACGGTCTGGCAATGGGCCGACCCGCAAGGCCACGACCAAGACCAAATTTGGGAGCAGCTGGCGGGGGAGCCACATCCTCTTCTGGGGGTGCGGCAACTCGTCTTGATGGAGACGCAGTGGTTCCGGGGCCAGCAAGCTTCCGTTGCAGCTTGAGACCCGATCCAGGAGGTGCAAGACCGCCGGCCTTCGCGGCACCGAGCTTTGAAGGGATTCCTCTGGCTGCAGGCCTGGCCGGGGGTTCTTCTGGGGCAGGTGGAGCAGCCACAGGGGCTAGTTTTTTTAGTCCCGTTGGCGGCTTCTTGCCAACAACCTTTCTGCCAGCCGGGAGAACGGGCTTTGGGGGGGCCACAATAGCCTTGGGGCGCTCCTTGGCCTTGACCTCAGCGGTTCCGAAGTACTCCTTGATTTTGGTTTTACGAATCTCGTCAAGTCCATCGAGATACGGGTTCATGGCCCGTTCACCGAGGATCTTCATTAATGTACCCAGAATTTCAGCAGCTCCCTCGCGGATTGCTGGGGCTGATTCGGTCAATAGCTTTGTGCCCGCATCGGCGATCGCTTTCTGCTCTGCCTTGGCTGGTACCGTCCGGGTTGTGCGCAAGCAACGAACCAAGAACTTGACAGTTTCCTGCTTGATCTGTGGATTCTTGTGCTTGAGATACTCAAAAATTTCTTCCAAGCATTCCGTAAGGGTTGTGGTGGTGAAGACAGCATCCAACGCCTGGCCCAAAGCATCTGCGACAGTCGTCTTCTTTTCTTTCAGACGTTCAAACATGGGCGCCATAATGACGCTTCGGTATTTGGTAAATCCATCGCGCAGGCCCTTGGCCAACACGTCCACACAATTCGCAGCTACCGTAGCGACAGCGACGTTAGCATCCTTCATAGATTTGGCCAATCCCCTCACGATCTCATCGTAGGGGCCGTCTTTGATTCGGGGGACGTTGATAACGTTATAGAGAGCGTCCAACGCTTCTTTGCGATCCTTCCATTTTGATGAGGCCAATTGATCATGGAAGTCGGCAGGGACTTTCTTCATGACATCAACCGGTTCCGCTAGGTCGAAGGCATCAACAACCACCCCATCCTCCTCCTCATCAAAGTCGTCGCCGGCTGGTTCTTCGCCCTCCTCGCCTGCTGGTGCAGCGCTGGCCGCAGCCATGGCATCTTGTTGTGCCCGAGTGAATCGCTCTTGCTTCGGTGTGGGGTCCTGCTTCACAGTTTCGAATAGTTTCTCCAAATCGGCCTGCTGCACAGGTTTCAAATCTGCCCAGAATAGAGGCTTGATGGCCTCCCGCAGCCACCGATAGAGTTCTACTGTCAGGTTTTGTGCTTCTGCGCGGACATTTTTATCGGCATGACCAAAAACCTTGGTCAGGGCCTTTAGAGTTTGCTTTGGGTCGACGATCTTGCAGCCGAAGTTATGGTAAATAAGGGTGAAGGCTGCGAGAGAGGCGGCGACCACCTTGGGTACTTTGTGTGATAGTGTGGGTAGTAGCTCCTCGATCACCGGATCGGCCTTATCCATTTCGACACATAATAAAAGAGCTTCCTGGGCGCTAGCTTTACCGGCCGGTCGTGTCGATGGGAGACCTTTCTCAGCAATTGGGCCAATTGTAAATGAGCGGGTCCTGCAAATGGGAATGCTGTCAGTGGATTCAGGGTGGACCGAGAAGGCCGTCGCGACTGGGACCGGGGGTTGACGCACCTTGTGCAGGCCTGGGCTCCTCCGAATTTCAGAAAGGCGCAGTACGCCGCGAGACCTTCTGACTGCGCGGCAACGTTGGAATCTGCGACTGCTCCTTTCCATAGGCCGGGATCTTGTATGAATGGCACGAAGACTGGGTCTGATTCATCGGGGGTCTTTTCAAATTGCGCTTTCGCATCTTCATATCCCTCCTTTCGAACTTTCCAATTCTATTATCGGGGTTAGACTCTTCATTTTATCAATCGGGTTCATTATGCAGGAATGAGCGCACCTTGTGAGCGAACCGGTCGGCCAAGGGTAAAGAGGAGAAGTCCTCTGTGGCTTCAGCCATTTTGACGGGTGAAGGACGGAACTATCAACGGATCCTAGGAAGGTAAGGAGTCAGCACGTTCTGCAGTGTCCGATCAGAAGTGCGCATAGTAGCAAAGTAGATTCCGGATAAAGAAATAAAAGGTGCTGAGTAGGTGTTGCGGGGGGTCTCGGGGGTGTTTCGGGGTTCAGACGATCGTACTGTGTTGGGTTGATGCCCAAAGGGTATCAAAGGCAGACTTGTCTTGAACAATAAGACACTGATCTTGACTAGAACATGAACAACCAAGTCAAAGTGTCCGATATATTGACAGGGGTGGCTGATATTAGTCGAAACACACGGGGTTAAAGAAAATAAACAGTTGAAGTTGAAGGAAAGTAAACAAAAGCCTTGGCGAATTGTTTTGTTTAAACCCCCCGCGGTGGATCACAACTTGTTCTTCATATTTATCTTCTCTTCTTTTCTTCGCCTCTATTCTTCAATTCCTCTACTTCTCTTGCATCAATTCGCCAATTCATCAACTCTCCAGCTCTCCAACTCCCCCTACTCCCCTTACTATTCGCCGACACCGCTCCCACAACTTCCCCTCCATCGCAGTTTTCCGATCCAATCTGGTGTATGCGCATTTGGATAAGCAGAGAGAGCAGATAGCACATATAACACCATGAGCCAACTTCTCACGACGCGGCAGGCGGAGGAGCTGTATGTGACCCAATCTGGTTCCTTTAGGGGTGATCGCTGATGGTGTTTTGCGACAGACATAAAGGAATAATCGCCTACCTCACCTCTGTGAATTTACATCACAGCTCCGCCGCTTTACGAGAAGAACTTGGCGACTCGATCCGAGTCGACGAGACGACACTAAAGAAATATGAAGGACTCTTGGAGAAGAAATGGACGAGCGTAGTCCGGTTACAGAAAAAGGTGCGAACACCAGGCATATCAACAAGCCTTCCTCTTGTTAACCTGCTGTTCTGGTATAGATTATGGAGCTGGAGGCACGATGCGCTTCACTCCAGTCCGAGTTGGATACCGCAACCCCGACTTCTCTGAATCGCAAAAACCAAGACCCAGTCTCCTGGCTGCCTCGAGCACCAGCGCGTCATGACCTCCAGTCGCACCGTTCGCCAGTATCGTGTCTCGCTTTCCATCCAGTATTCTCTTCTTTGGCCTCCGGTTCAGATGATACCACAATCAAGATCTGGGACTGGGAGTTGGGTGAACTAGAACGCACAATCAAAGGACATACCAGGGCAGTGTTAGACGTCGACTATGGAGGACCGCGCGGAGGCACACTTCTTGCATCTTGCTCGTCAGATCTGACGATCAAATTGTGGGATCCGGCTGACGATTATAAGAACATCCGAACGCTACCAGGGCACGACCACAGTGTTTCAGCAGTTCGGTTCATTCCATCCGGAGCTGCAGGGTCTCCCATGTCAGGAAACCTGCTAGTCTCGGCTTCTCGCGATCTCACACTGCGAATTTGGGATGTCACGACTGGATATTGCGTCAAATCCATG